GATATATTTGTTTAAATCCGGGGTCAATGTGTAATATTTAAGAAGTTAGAGCATAATGGGTGGAATTGATAAGAATTAGGGTTAAAATTGAGGGTCAAAATTGAAAATTAGGGTTAAAAATTGGTTAATTGATGAAATGGGATAAATTGGGGTGTAAATCATGAAATTGGAGTTGAATTGGGTTTCAATGAATTGGGGGTAATTTTGGTATATATAAAGGAATTTTCCTTATTTGCAAATAAGTTTGAATGGGGTGGATTTATTTGAAAGACAAAAAAGTTGGATGTCCCTTTTTTAATTAAGTGCTCTTGTCATGGGCTTTTTTGTGATTACCCCTTAAAAATAATCAAAATCACGTTTGAAGTCGAAACGGTATTATTAAAGCTCGAACGAACTTTATTACATACCTTGTAAGTATCTCACATAATTTCAATACACGACGTGAAATTTAAGCATGGAAAATAAGTGTCTTTCTCTACAAGAAAGAATCCACATGGAAACAGAATTTCATGTTATTGGGAAACAGAGTCCAATTCACTGACTACATTATTATGATTCAACGATTAAATAATTATGCACTAATTTTTATTATCGAAAGATTGAATATTGATGGCAGGGAAGCAAGTCAAATCTGATGATGACAAGTTCCAAACCAACAAGGTGAGTTCTCTCCACAAACAAAATTAATTATTTGTATACCTTTTGTTGTGTGTAATAAATATCATAATCTACTTGTTTCGTAATCACCATTCCTACAAGAACCGGATCGGGTCGGGTCAGGGGCGATAGAGTTTGAAAATCGCCCGAAACCTTCTCCATTAAAACTAAATTGGATTTAGCGAAAAGAGATGTGTTAGAATACTTGGAAAAGTATCGTGATTACATTGATTTGTATGTTATTCCATCATAGAGACAGTGGCGAGTTCAGGAATTTTGGTACATGGTTCGGGGATTTTTTTGAAAACAGGAAAAGAGGAAACAAAAAATACAAGAAAGAACAAAACAAATTTTAGAGTTTCTTTTGCATTAATTTGAATTTTGGGTGGGCTAATTAATAAAATTTGGGACTTTTTTTTTGCATTAATTTGGATTTTGAGTGGCTAATTAATCTTTTTTTTTTTTCCTTATAGAGTGCCAAGATAATTTACGGTGACAATGATCGGATAAGTCATTTGCCCGATGACATTCTCGTTGATCTACTATCTTTATTGTCGCTCAAGGAAGCTGTATGCACTAGTGTTCTCTCATCTCGTTGGCATAACTTGTGGAAACATACATACAGTCTCAACTTTGATCCACACGATTCTTTACAAAAAGAGGAAAAGTACGTGAAATGGGTGAATTCCGTCATCAGAAAACACAAAGCAGCCATCTTGAAAGATTTCGTAATCCGTCTAAGGTTGAGCAGAACATTCCAGAAGGATGTTAACCGATGGATTGAATTTGCATTTGCGAGGCACGTGCAGAGGTTAGAGTTGGATCTTAGCAAATCGAGCCTTGTTAATTGTTCTTTACCCCAAGAGTTGCTCACTCAAAATACTAGTTCCGAAATTGACTTCAAGCCCCTCAAAGTATTGTGTTTGAAATCTGTTGATGTGACGGAGGAAGATATTAAGTTTTTGCTAAGTAACTGCCCCTTGCTCGAAGAATTGGTTGTCGATCGCTCGTTGAAATTATTAAACATTGAAGCTTGTGGTAGTCCAATCCTTGCTTTAAAACATTTGAAGTTAACC